GTTGTTCATTCATCCTCGTGGATGTAGTGTGTCACTGCTATAAAGCCTCTCTGCTCCAGCTTTTTTATTGATTCTAACTATTGGGCTTTTGTTGTTTTGGCTGAATCAACAGAGCAGTGTTCTGTTCTCATTCATGATTCTTCTGCAACATTAGGTGTTTGATCATTTTTTTTTCTTTTTTTCTTCATATCACAGTGACTGCTCCTTCAAACTTGTCTGGTCTGACTTCTTTCTTCTACTGTTTCTCCTGTCTTTCAGGCTCTTGTCTGCCTTGCCTAGTCTTCCGCACTTTGGGAGACTACTTCTGTGGCTTTAGTTAGCAAATCTTTGAAAATAAACCCCGAATGCTAGGTCTTAGCCTTTAGCTGTTTGTCTTATTTCATCAGCTTCCCTTTAACTCTAACCTCTTGCTCTGTTGCAGTCTGTCCTAAAAGGTTTTTTCTTTTCCCTCCAGATCTTTTGCACCACATCCTCTCACTTTCACCACAGATGATTGCACTGTCCTTTCCAATGCCCCAAATTTTATTCATCTAGTTCTCCTTTTTGTAGACAGTGAATGACTGACTTCCATCTCTTATCACCAGATATGCATTTTTAGCTTCCAGTCAGAAACCTATGTGCATTCCTGTTATCTTTTGCTTTGATATAACTTCCTCCTGCTTCAGCCACCTTCTCCCCTTCTCCATTCTCTGCTCCATCTGGATTGTCCCCGCAGCCATCGTGGGCCGCAGTAGGTGTGAAAGGGTGCAGCGCCGTGGGCCTCGCTGACACTGCACCTTCATACAGGCTGAGCACCTGGCCTGTCACAGTGCCTCAGCTCACCGCTGTCCCTTAGTGTGTCCACAGCTGTGAAGAACAGCAAATGGATGTATGCTGGTCTGATTTTAAAGGATTAAGTATCAAATGCTGTTATTAAAAATGCATTTGCAGCCTGCCTCAATGTTAAACAAACCAAACCAATAATACAGTTATGGTCACTATTCTTTCTGCGATATCCAGCTTGCTGGTAATTTGTAGATCAGTGGTCTTATGTGCCCTGAGACCATGCTCACCGTGGTCTGCTCACCGTTTATGACCTTCTCATATCTGTATACAGACTTCCCCATTCAAATTCAATTATTAATCTAATAAACGTTAACAAAACAGTAAAGCTCATGTATTTAAACTATAGTGTCATGTAATGGCTGTGTCTAGGGAACTGGCCCTCTCAGATGCCATGAGTATCGTGGCCTGCAGCTGTTTTCTTTTAGATCTCTTTTTAAAAAAAATGTTTGCAAAAGTTTGTATTTGTAATTTCCTACTCTCCTGGCTTCAGAGGAGTCGTGAAGTATTTCTCATACTAATGAGACAGACTGAACTCTTGTGTTCCTCATGGTATCTGACTATAGTTTTCACTGCCACCTTCACCACTAATCACGTATCTGTATTTCACAGAACATTAGTTAAGCTAAATATTAAACATAAGTCCCAGAGATTGCATTGTGGCTGCATTAAGAGTTTCTGGAGAGCATCCCATTAAGTGCACTGCAGCCTTAAGATCTAATCAGCATCCCTCTTTGGATTACAAGGAACCCAAAGAAGTTGTTATCCTAATCTGTGTATGATCTTATAATATTTGACTTTCTGTAGCCACAATCAGTACCCTGTCAAGCATTCCAATAGCAAAAGTACATTTGCGGAGAAATAAGCCAAGTAATTGACCTGACAGGATGAGCAACCACTTCCTTTTGAATAGATATTTGTACGCTTTAGGCTGGGATGTGACTGTGTGAGTGGAAAGTTCAAAATGAACCTTTAATTTAGTGTGGGGTTTTTTTGTTCTCATGAGAGAATATATGAGAGAGATATTTGGATTGATGCAGAGGTAGCAATTCACTTAAGGCTTTGCTTGTGTTGCAGAATGGATGCTCACAATTTTAGTAGTCTGTAAACATCATTGGGGTCCAGGGCATGAGATGAGCCTTTGTGCTCACCTCTTGGGTGCGTGGAATAGATATCTTTCATAAACACATGCACTAAAAGAGAAATACTTTACTATATTTTGTTGGAAAATATTATTTTTCAACTTTTTGCTGTTAACATTGTAAATATTGTCTTAGCTTCCGTTAATGCCTTTTAAAGTGATGTTGCCATTTTGAATTACTGCTGTTTTCGTTTTTGAATTTGTGGTTTTGTAATGCGTCACAAAACATATCTAAATAGTCTTAGAGCCTTTGCTGCTTTTTCTCAGATAGGATATGGCATAATGCCTCACTTGGTTCCCCAAATACTTTTCATGTGAGACCAGAGCCAGCTTTTAGGTAACAAAGTGCTGGAACCTCACATGAAGGATGAGACTTGTTCTGTGCTGTAATCTGTGATTCTGTGACCTGTGTGTTCAGTGGCCAGATTCAGTCTGATTTGAACGGTCCCAGGATTTCACCCTGAAACTCCAGGCAAAGGTTCCCATGGGGAAGCTGTAAAACACAGCTCTAACTTTTATGAATAATTCTTTTTGAAGTGAATGCTGGAGGTGCCTGGGATAGGACTGCTACCATAAGCACAGGTTACTTATGCACTATATAAAAGCCTGCTTACGCTAGATCCCCTCTGCTGGCATCAAGACTGGGTTTATAACTTCATACTGATCCAATCTTGCTGCAAGAGTCACACAATGTCTGGGTCAAACTGCCAAAGATGGAAAGATCTCCCATGACAGGGGTGAATGCAGTGTGTTCCTACTGCTCCTGGGCTGGATTATTCTTGGGCTAAACCAGCCTCCTACTCCAGAAGAGTTGTGGAAAGAGATGGAATCAGCCTTGTCCTCAGCTTCATGTACCAATTTGGGAAGCAGTTTGTACTCACTTGGTCCCATACCTGTGGATTTTTATCTCGATTTAGGACATAAAAGGAAGGAAGAATCGTGCCCCCCTTCACCTTTTAGAGAACAGGTTGCTTGTGGTATGCAATATCGTGTCAGCAATATCATCACGTATAGTACAGTAAAGTGACTATTCCTCACGACAATGTCTTTTCCGTCTCCCTCAGGAAACCAGCAAATAATACTATAGCATCTGCAAAAATATCAAGAATGACTATAAAAACGTTCTGGAGCTTGGTATTGGTCTCAGTGATGTCACTACATCAGGTGTTATAAATAAATGAATAAAATGTGCATCTTTTCAGTCTTCTAACTTGTAAAAAGAAAATGTGGATGGAATTCATTCAGCTCAGCCTATGTAGGTGGCTTTGCATTCAATTTACAAGCCATACTCAAGCCTTATTCAAGCCAAGCCTGAGTGATCTTGAATTATTTAAACCAATTATTAATTCATATTTTTTATTTAGGGATCTCATTGTGGCATTAGTCTTTGCATTTTGGCGGGGTTTTTTTTTCTTTCCTTCACTGTACAAAAACAAGTATATAAGTGTAAGGATACATGGAGTCATCAGGCAACAGACATATGCTTTCCTGTGCTCTCTGCAGGGCTTGCAGGTTCAAACACAACCTGCCTGAATCATAAGAACTTTAATTGAGTAGATAAAGAGGTCCTCATAATTATAAACTGCAGTAGGTATAACAAGAGGCTAAATACATAGCTGTGGTTTTAATTAGCTGGTGCTTCAAATTAGTAATTGTGGTTTCACTCAGAAATCAGTGACTTTATACACTGTTAAAGCCTCATCACTGTGCAGTTCATTCCTCATTATATCTCTCGGTGTGAAGCTTTCAATACAACATCATGCTGAGCTAAAAAGGCAAAAGTTGTAGATATTTGGTTATCTTCCAAGTGCAGTGGAGCTCTATGGAGATTTAATTCATTCTCACCAGAGATAGGAGAATTAACTGTTCTTTGTTACGCATATAATATGTATGTTTGTATGTATGCATTTGTACATAGAAGGGTGTGCATGCATGTCCAGAATCTATCAGGGAAGTACTGCTTACAACAGATAACATCAGTGCATATACTGAATCTGCTATTCAAATTGTCGTCTGGAATTTGGTAGCTAATTAACTGACACAAAGCAGAGCCAAAAGCCTCATAACAAATCAAATATGGGTTGAAAGCACAGAAGTGTCCTTTAATGCTTGTCACATGAGAGGTTGTCAGTACAAGTTGAAGCATGCATCTTTTCCTTTCCTCTTTCCTTTCCTATTTTTCCCCCTCCTCCAGGGTTTTAATTATATCTTTTCCCTCAGAGGAGCAGGAGGTAGTTTGCAAAGCCAAGAGACCAAAGTACTTCAGTGCTATTCAGGGGAGAAGGGAATGTGTTCTCTCAGCTTGTCATCTAGGTCTGGCAGGTGCACAAAGTAAGCTGACACACAGAGAAGTGCCACTCACCATTGCTACACTGAGGCACTGGATCCTTCTCTGATACTTGTTTGTGTGTAGAATTATCTGATACTGGAATCAACTATCCTAAAGTCTCTTCCGGGAGCCTGCTACAAAACCACTTTTTAAAACCCACTTACACCCTCAGTGAAGCTGTATGTAAATTTTAACAAGTATGTGGGACAGAATTGGGTGGTCTAAATCACATGAGGCTGAACTGGAGCATTGGAAGGGGTGGAGACAGGTGTTACACAGTTAAATGGAATGGAAGATGTTGCTGTGCTTCATTGACTTCACATTTGCTTTCTCTGCACAGACACAGTCTTTGTGGGCACACATGCACGCGTTCGTGTCTGTGTGTGCACATGTATTTTATGGACTGTTCGTACAAATGTGTCAAAATGTATTTTATTCTTCTGCCTAATGCTCTGTTAATTTGAAAAGAACATTTTTGTCTGTTCATTTTAGGAGTGTACTGACTGTCCTACAGCCCAATTTCACATAGTATTATGATTCCAAATTTACATTTGAGAAAATTATTCAGTGGCTGCTTCTTTCTTGCAGAATTGTCCTCAGGAGTTGCATTGTTTCTGATGTTTTGCTGCTCTTACTGATAGTAATGAACACGTAACTAAATTCTGAGGAAAATAATGTGTTGTCTTTTTTTGTCTTTCTCTTCCTCAGTCACTATGAGCAAGACCGGAGTGCACTTAAGCGTAAAGAATGGGAGAGAAGAAACCAGGAAGTCCAGCAAGATGAAGATCTCTTTGCTTCAGGTTTTAACCTCTTTGGGGAACCCTACAAGGTAAATTGCATTGTTGTGCTTTACATTTTCAGAATGTCTTTTACCTGAATGCATTTTACAAAGACAAATAAAGCTTCTCATCACCTGTAAGAAATGAAAGTATAGCATCTGCCTTGGTACTTAGACCCTTGAATACACTAATTATCCAAATCAGCATATGGCAGCAGAGCAAACTGAATGCTCTGCCCAACATTGCATGCTAGCATTGACAGAGTCAGGAATTTTGATTACAGTCCAGTTCAAGATTTCTTCCTCTAAACACACAGCAGAGCATGTGCAGCTGATATCTCTACAGGTGGGTTCATACCTAAAAAGCTAGCAGTTAGTCCATTTATTTTTAAGAAGAAAATATACTTGAGTTGTTAAAACCTGTGTCCTCTCTGTAGATAATACACTTTCGTATGCAATCATAACAATCCAAAGAAGTCTTCCAGGAGACCATCTGAATCTTTGGGGAGCATAACAAGGGTATGAAAGGGACTTATGACAAGTCTTATTCTCTCTAAGGGGCTTTGCTGCCTGAGATTTTCATCACCGAGGGGTGTTCCCCTGTATGATTTCTGCTGCTTTGATTTTCAGTAAAACATTCCCTGAAGAATTCATCAGAATGTAAATTTCCCTGTCTCTTTCTCCTCCCAATCAGTGACATCTGTTGAAAGGCCACCACTTCATCTTTCCATTTTACATTGTTAGCAGCTGTAGGGAGGATGAGGGCTCTTTGAAAATCGCCCGGAAAGGAGGAGGAAAACTGGCATTATTATCAAATGGTGTCTAATAATTATAGACTGGGGGAGTGTGATGGTTACACTTGACTCCCAGCTGTACTTTGGTTCAGGCTGACTAAAGAGCAACAGGCTTCACGTCCTTGGGGTGAACTTGCAAGCTGGAAAGCCCCTGGCTCACATACAAGGGATTGAAGGTGTCTTGAAGAATATTTCAAAAGACGGTTTCAAAACCCAAAAGTGCAAGATAACCAAAGTACAGAACAAGATATGAGAGCTAAAGTGAAGACATCTATCTTGTCTGTACAATTGACTAGCAGCCAACTACTTCACCCTATAAATATTGTCATCAGGATGGGCCCAATTTGAGCTCTCCCTGAATTGCAGCTGGACTGCCCACCAGGTAACCCTCCCCTTGAGCAGGGACACCCCTCGAGGGTAGAGATTCTTTACCTGATCCTTTGTTACCCATGGTGGAGAGATCCCTTACATGTGGCAGATCCTCAGTAAGTGACTGATAGAATGCTGAATTGGTACTATGAAACATTACTAACCTGTGTAGCTACTCAATATTACTGTAAATATTGCATGGACAATTCCATTAGACATAAACTGTTGTCCAAGTCTGAGACTAAGATTGGATCCAGCCACATTTAGGCTCCAAAAGGAGTTCAGAAAGCAAAGGGGTCCACTCTGAACCTCTTGACCCAGTGGGAGAGTCCTCCTTACTCTTTGTGTCTCTGGTCTCTGTGTGAATCATTCAAACTTGTTCCTAACTCAATTTTCCTTTGTATGTTTCTTCCATGCAGTAATTAATAAGTGAACACTGCCATCAAACTTATTGAACCTTGTCAAACCACTGGTAAAACTGTGTTAAATTCCATCAAACTTGCTGAACTCTGTCAAATTATTGTTTTACCTCAGTAAAACATATTGCTGCTTTTCTCTTTTAAGTGAGGTGCATTCCACTCATCCATGACAGATATATTCAGCCAAGTAAGGACTATGCACTAGGACAGTTTGTTTGTGGGATCTTTTTGTTTTGTTTGTATAAAAATCTCATCAATGCACTGTTTTGGCATTGGACCACATTTTAGCACCTTTATTTATGGGAATATTATCTTACTATGAACTGATTTTTTTTGAGACTTTCTGCAGGTCATGCAAACATTTTTGTTATGTAAGTGGTCATTTGGATTTCAGTGTATAGAGCAATACGCAAATCACTGCAAAATTTTGTGTCAGGAAATAAAAACACCTCCTGCCCCCCCTCAATATCTGATTTTACATCTGTTTAGTGTTAAACGTATTTGCACCAAGCATACACGGAGCATATGTTTCGTCAAAAACTGAGCAAATAAAAAGCAAAAAATTATCGTGGTGATTTTTCTGAGCAAATTGCCTTTCACCTGCTTGGCAGAGAAGTTCGTCAGATCTGTGGGCTTGAGCAAAACGTAATATGTTACTATCTTAAAAAAGCATTGTAATTATAAATTGTGAAAGATAAAAATTAAGAGGAAATTGCATGCAAAAATAGTTACATCTGTTTTAAATTTGCAAAACAAAGAGAAACAAGATTAGATAGGAAAACTAGGTCTTGCCCACATTTTACACTGTGGGCAAAAAAAAAAGGACAAAGTGATAGACTGATATTTCCTTTCCAAGTTCTACATTGCTATGGACCAGCCACAGTACAGTTTCCTAGGAACTAAGGAAAGTTGGATCTAACTCCTAGTGCATATATAGCGACTTGTGTTCTTAAGCAAGTGCAAAACGAAATTCAGTGTTTTGTTCATGTTTATTCTAAAATAAAATGAAGAGGCCATAAGGTGAGAACAAATGTGCTGCACATTCAGTTTGAATTCCTTTTCCGTTTTGAGATTAACAGATATTTCTGTATAGATAAGACTTAAGGCCTGGTGCACACAACAAGCTGCACCCATCTTGTCTCTTCTGGTTGCTCGCAGTGGGAGCAGAATGAAGTAAAATACTGCCCAGCAAAGTCAACTGTTGTGGCCTGTGAATGGGCACAAGGTCCACATCCTCAGCTGGGCTAGCTCTACTGGTGAGCATCAGCTCAAGGGATAGCTGGTATGTTTCTGAAAGATCTGGGGGTGCAAGGTAAGATGGAGAATACAGTGACAAAGGCCAGTTTGGGAAAATCAAGTCTCAGGAAATAGAGAATGTCTCTTTTCCTTTCTTTTATTCTCAGACTTAGTGTCCTTGCTTGCTTACCATTCCTTCCTCATTTGTTTCAACAGTAACCCAGAGAAGGGGCTGTTGGGGTAGGGAATACCACCACTGCTCTTCTGATGTTTTAAAGACTGAACAACTGGCAGGTGATCACAACTGATCGCTCTAAAGTTGGGAATGTTAAAACTTGGTCAAAGAAAGCAGCCCAAATTTTCTCACAGATCTTACTGCCGCTGTGTATCACGAGATGTGTGGAGTGTCCGCCTCCATCTATCATGTCTTTGCTCTAGCTGTTAGAGCATCATTCTTTCTGTCTCTCTGTCAAATAAAACAGAGGTGATTATTATAGTTTTGAGCAAGCGTATACTTCTGCATTGATTCTTTGTAGTATACATATGTGTACACAGACATGAAAAGATACTTATTTCTGTCGGTGTATAAAATACATTTATACATGCTTATTAAAAGATAAAAATGTTCTTTTGAAGCTCTGCTGTCTCATGTGGAGAAACCACACCTTTGACAATGTGATGACATCCAGTGTTATTTTGGGAAGGTTGCGTAGCAAGGGCTGTGTTGCCCTTTAGTGCAAGTGGGTTGCAGGTCTTGCCTTCAAACTCTGGTGCAACCTGCTAATGCTTGATTTTGCAGAAGTGATCAGAGAAGAGCTGGCAGTGTTATGACAACAAGTCATTTGAAGAGGCAATGTCAGAGTTTTCATGAGAGAAGCTGCGATTTTACTACTGAATTGTTGATACCTTTTAATGTTTTGAATTAGTGAAGAGTTTCAGAGATGAGTATTTTAGAGAAAACAGAAGGAGTATTTTAGAGAAAACAGAAGGAGTATTTTAGAGAAAACAGAAGGAGTATTTTAGAGAAAACAGTAGGAGTATTTTTGTTATTTTTCAAAGGAATTGCCACAGAAGAGTTCAACTTGGGAAAGAGAACCAAATGGGCAGCACTTCCATTCAAGAGCCTTTGGTGAATGTTAAATCAGTTCTCTTTTTTCAGGTAAAGCCCCTCCATGCTATTCAAGCTTAGCATAAAAAAGATCTTGGCTTCTAGTCCCTGGAGGTTAGTTTAACTATGAAGCATGAGAAAGTGAATGAATTATGAAAACTCAAGTTTCGTACAAATTTTCACAAAAACCTTGTAAATTTGGCCTGTAAGTTTGAGTGCATTAGTTCTTTTCTTTGTAAAACTATAAAGAGATAGCTAGCTAGCAAATTAGTCTTCCAATAGGATTCTATTACAGATCTTTTTTGAAAGTGATAGAAGCAAATGTAGGAAGGTGTACATTTCCAAAATTAACAAGAACCTAGAATGAGGGGGAAGGCTACTAGCCATGAGTCACAAACTAGATGTATAATTTATGCCTTAGAATACTCAGAAAATACTGTATTTCCTTGATAGTGGCAAAATTGTGGTCCAACACACTGCTCAGAAAATAAAAAGTACAGAGGTTTCCTTTAAGAAATCAGCGAATTATCCAGAATATAAAGGTAGAAGTTGTCCCCAATCTGGATGTACCAAAGAGCAACCAGAAATTATGACAGGATTTTTTTTGCCTTGCTGGTATCCAGGCTTGTCAAGAATACTCTGCTTCTTACAAGAGCTCTGAATTTGTTGAGGAAATAAGATAAAAACATTAATGTTATGCTTTATGTTTTAAATGCAGGTGGTACACTGCACTACACACCTGAGGTCATTCAGGTTGTGATGCACAAGTCTGGTCTTAGTTATGTGCGCTCTAGTTTTATTTAAGCATGACCAAATTACCGCTCACATTCACTATGTGTTTTTTTGCTTTGCAATCTGGTCCAGAGGCCATTGAAGAGAGTAATAATCCTTCCAATGACTATTGGATATGAGCTTTAGTGCACTTAAATATGCTAAGGATGTTGAAATTAATTTAATCTCCATGCTTTTCAGGAAATATATTTTTTATTAATGTCTCCAGTAAATGACTACAAATAATAATACCTAACATTTATACAGTGTCTTTTATCCCCAGGATGTGAGCATTCTGCATAAAACAGACTCAATGTCAAGCAAAATTATATTTATTATTATGTGACACGTAAAAGAAAATAAGTTGAGAGAATCAGATACCTCCAACACAGAAATGATTGAAAAGCTCTACATTCAAATTAAAATATTGATTCCCTCTGTGAGGATCTAGACAAGAGCCATTTAATGTGCTGTGATGTTGAAGTGTTACAGTGATGATATGTTGTCAGTACTTTTTTTTTTAAAAAAAAAAAAACTTTTGCTTTCTGGAAAGAAAGATAAACGCACCCTGGAAGCGTAGCTGAACCAGAGGTGAGGGTTGGTGCTCAGGCTTATTTTGATACTTGATTGTTTCCCATGTGCTATCCCATAAGGAGTTAAAGTGTTTGGGGAAGGAGGAAACAGAACAAGTATGTAAGTGTTTAGACTTCGCATCATAATTCCTG